CAAACTCCAGTCCGGAGATATAAAAGGGAAGATCGCTCTTCGGAGGCATCCAAAGGGGCAGCCCCTATTCTGGAGCAAAGGGCGGGTCGTTGCCTGTCTCTCTCTCCCCCCCCCCTTTTCTCATGCAACGTGTCTAGAATGTTTTTTTTTAAATAACAAAGGGGTGTGTTTATATCAATTTTACATAAACTGAATACACACACACGTCTATGTATACAAGTGCATGTATAGTGTGTGTGTGTGTGTGAGAGAGAGATTTTCTCTCTCTCTCTCTCTCTGGGGGGCGGGTGGAGAAGAGAGACCTCCTTCCAGGAGTGTGCCTAAAAAGAGGGGGGCTGTTTTAGGGAGGGAGAAGGAAGAGGGTCCCCTAATCCTTCACCCTCTCGGGGGGGGCATGGGACCTCTCTTTTGGGTGGGGGGGGCGTGTCAGGACCTGGAAACCAGCCCGTGCAATGGCCCCCACCCCTGCCCCTGTTGTTGTCCTTCTTCTTGGGATGGTGTGTGTGTGTGATTGTGTGTCTGTGTGTGTGTTGTGCTTCCTTTGAAGAAAGCATCCCCCTCCCCCTCCCCCTCCCCCCCAATGGCGGAGGGGGGAGGCAAAGGGAGTCGCTCCCCTTTTTACCTTCTTCTTGGCCGCCGCCAGCTTGCTCTGCCTGCTCCCGTCCGCCATGTCCGAGCCGGGCCCGGGCCACGTCAGCCCCGGGGAGGGAGAGAGAGAGAGAGAGACGGAGCTCCGGCGAAGGGAAAGGAAGGGAAGGACGAGGAGGCTCGTTACTGGGCCGGCCTGTCGAGGCGCCTCAGCCGGGCCAGCAGGAGGGAGGGAGGGAAGAGAGGCTCGACTGCGCAGGCGCCGCCCTGACAGGCCTCGGCGCTAGGACGAGAGGAAAGGGGAAAGGCCGTATTGCGCAAGCGCTGCTCTCACGGGGCTCGGCCCAAGAGAGGAAGCGGAAGCGCGCTGTACTCCTGCGCAGGCGCTGCCCGGACGAGGTCTTGACGGGGGAAGGAGGAAGTGCGCAGGCGCAGACCTTCCCCTCCCCCCCCTTTTTTTAAACGGTGTCCTCGTCTGTCCTAGAAACCTTGAGGGGAAGGAAGAAGTGCGCAGGCGCAGACCTTCCCCTCCCCCTTTTTTAAACGGTGTACTCGTCTGTCCTTACAACAAGTTTTTCCTCAGGGGAAAAAAATAAATAAGTCAGTTTATTTTATTTATTTATCTAGAGTTAATTTTTCTGAGGGCTGGCACGATTATCTTATTTAATCTTGTTATTAAGATACTTATATTTTAGCTGAAAGAATATTCCCTATGCACTTTCCCTTGAAGAAAGTACACTGTATGTTCCAGGGCAGCTGGAAGTTGTTTTTTTGGACTACAATTCTATTTTTTTTACTACAACTCCCAGAATCCCTTAGAGGAATTATGGGAGTTGTCATCCCCCCCCACACACACACACACCCCTCCAAGTTGAGGAGAGCCTTACTCTCATTATAGTTTTAAAGGATCTGTTGGGGAAACAAAAAAATCTTACTTGCAAAACATTTCAAGAGTCACTAGAATACCTATTAATTTCTATTTAGTCCTGTAATTCACTCGGGAAACCTACTGGAAGCCCATGATATAAAAAAATACCTTCAATAATGACCATGATTATTTATATTGGGCTCTACAGCAAAGTGCCATTCCAGTTAAATGAACCATGTACAAACCTGCAACTCATTTAAATGGGATCAAATGATCCCACTTTTATTCAGACCCACACTGCCAGATTTCGTAACGGGCGTGATGCAGCATCCGCCCGGCAGCTCCAACCTGAGCAGGTATTTCAGGTAGAGCCAGCAGCCCTTCCCTCTGAGTCATTATTTAATAAGTTTCTTCATACATTATAAATGCTTTGGGAATTATGTTAGGAAGTGGGACATGTTTGGGGCACAGAAGCAGTTGTGTTTTCTCCTCTGCCCAGAGATGCAAGATAGGGTGATACCTTTTAGCTTGGGGACCACATGGCCTATTCCTTGTTCTTTAAACAGAGAGGGACACACACTCACTCACACTCACACACACACACACACACACACACAGAGAGAGAGAGAGAGAGAGAGAGAGAGAGAGAGTAGTATGAATGCATGGACCCAGATCCTACCTATGGGATCTTAAATTACTGTACTGTTAATGTGACATTATTTTACAGCTCTGCTTTTTCTGCTTATGACAGCTGACTACACTCACATTGCTGGTTTTCTTGAATTGTCCCATTGATGCACTTGATTTCTGCCCCAGACAGATTAGATTGTCTGCCACTGTAAATATCAAAAGCCCCCTTCGCAAGTATGTTCAGAGGTTTGGGCAATATACCCCTGTGCATTAGTAGTTTGACTGAGAGGGTCTTTTCTGAGCTGGGGTGATTATTTATCCAGCATTAATCAATAATTCTTTCCAGTCTTTGAATTAAAAAAGAGCCCGGCCTTTCTCCTGAGTGTTCTTTCCCTCTCTTTCCTGCGTTGGTGGCAGTTGTTTGTCTGCTGTTGATCTGTTTAGCTGGTTGCTAAGCATGTGTGCAGAAAGTAAATAGCATATGCAATTCTATAATTTCATCTTTCCTGCTGGCAGTTGTTTGTCTGCTGTTGATCTGTTTAGCTGGTTGCTAAGCATGTGTGCAGAAAGTAAATAGCATATGCAATTCTATAATTTCAAGCAACTATGAGTAAATATTTTATTATTTTTTTCTCCTGCAAATGTCTCAGAGTGAGTTACTGAGACCCTGAGTGTCAGTTAATGAGAAAGGGGTGATCTCTGTGGAACTTGTAGTGAGTCTCCTCTGTGGATCTCTGTACTTCTGTGGCATAGCAAAAAGTTATTTTCCCCAGAAATTAAAAACTCTGCAACAGTATGTTGGGGAAAAGACACAGCCTTAAACCTGTCTGTATCAGCTCGCATAGACTTGGGTGGTGTAGTGCTGAAGTGGAGGTACTATCAGTGCAATCCCCAGGATCAGGACCCCAGTAGGACACTGACAATGTGGTCAGTTGTGCTGATGCATCTGTCATGCTCATCCCCCCTCTTCGACCCCTTTGGGTGTGATGCCAGCAGATCTACGTCTGCAGCACAGTCTTGCTGGCCGGTTGCTCTGTCAGAAGATCTCTTGAGGCTAGCGCAGATGAGGCTTGTGCTGGTCATTTGTACCTAATCCTAACTCTTTACAATCATAGCACCTTTGTGTTATAATTGCAGAGCCCGTTACCAAGCAAAACACTTTTCTGACCTCTACAAGGTCTACTGAGCCATATGATGCCATAATTGATGTTATTTTTGATGGTGCCTCAAGATTCTTTTTGAATTGCATGCTATCAAGTCGGTTCTGATTTATGGCGAACCCTTGCAGAATTTTCTAGGCACAGAGTCCATACATGTGGTTTTCTAGGAATAGAGTCCACACACGTGGTTCACAGTTCCCTTCTTTGAGTGCCTTAATTAAAGGCTACACTGTAGGAACAGTGATGGTGCAACGGAGAACATAACAACTTCCTCCTTGTAGACCGACTTCCATTCTGCAATTTAATAAATCCCAGATTGGGAGGATATTCAATGAAAAGTCCTTTGCCTACCTGCTCCGGACATCTTTCTAACAGGCTTACCTGCAAAATCCCACAACCTGATCTAAACCTGATCACTCACCCGGAATGCTCTGGACATTCTTCTCAGCGTTATGATGTGATGAGGCTGGAGAGACTGGTTGAAGCAAAAGTCTGGCCCAACCAAGAGCCACCAGCAGGAGACCCCTGAAGCTCCTTCTGTCAGCGACCCGGTTCACAGCACGAATGACCAGTAGCCCTGGGCTGGCTTGGAACCGTGTTGCTGCGGCAAACACATAAACAGAGACCAGGTTTTGGAATCTAGCAGAGCAACCACCGATTTTTGCATGAAAACTAGCCTAAGCTTTCATAGGGCTCAGTAGTGGTTATGGAGGCTGGGCTGCCAACTGTTTTCTTGGCCTGGCTCCTGTGCAGCCGCCTAGTACAAAGCCTTCTTTTGGAAACAGCTGCCAAGTTGCCTAAGGATCGTGTTTTTAATTCAGAAACATGGGCTTCTTGCGGCTTCCCTTCCCCGCCTCCTGGGACACTGGGCTCTTCTGCTTCACTTTCACGACTAGCCCACTGGGAAAGTTCATCCCCTGCCTCTCCCAGAAGGAAAGTTCCTGAGATAGGAGGGGCTGGCCCTGGATATCTGGGCTAGGTTTAAAGGGGGGGCTCCCTTTCTTTTTCCCACCAGGAGGGCCAAGGACCAGAGAGGGTCTCCTGAGTAGCCAGCCTCCAGGGACCCCCAGGTCTGTTCTCTCTGTGTGAAGGTTGGAAACCTCCGTCCACCTTCTGACTCCCAGACCAGGATCTATCCCACACCAGATACCATGCATGATGGGATACCCATCATGGGAGAGAGTGTGACTTGGTTTTTAAAAGAGACCTCCTTGTTTCTGCGGCCAGTTTTGAACAGCCTTGATCAGGCCTGATCCACCCCGTCATGTTCTAGTCTTGAGGAAAGATGCCACCGTCTTTCCAGACATCCTTTGGACGTGGGATGGGAGGGAGTTCTTGATGACACTCGTTAGGTCATCCTGAGATGTGCGAGAGAAACACAACTGACATCGAGCACACGATGGCGCTCTTCACTGCAGTTCCCAGGGGCAGTGCAAAGGAGCAGGATCTGGTTTGGAGGAGATTCCCCCACAAAAATAATGTGAATCCATAAGGATCTATGGCTCGGATCCACGTTTTACTCCCATTCCAAAGCCATAATGCACTGGATCCATAATTTCTGTGTTGCATTCTGTGGGCACTGATGAGGCCTATGATGGGACAGTGGTTTGGGGGAGAATCCCATGTCGATCCATGAGGATCTAGTTGATCCGTGAGGATCTCTGCCTCATAACCCGTCGATCCATGAGGATCTACTATTTGATCCGTGAGGATCTCTGCCTCATAACCCATTTTTTCTCCCATTCCAAAGCCATGCACTGGACCCATAATTTCTGGGCTGCCTTCTCTGGGTGCAAATGGGACCTATGATCAGACTGTGGCTCAGGGAGGTTTGCATCTAAAAATCATATGAAATCATGAGGATCCGTGCCTCAGACCCATGTTTTGCACTACTGCAAAGCCATGTGCCAAACGATCCATGATTTTCGTGGTGTAATCTGTCAGTGTATATGGAATCTATGATTCAGTCGTGGTTGGGGGAGTATCCAACATAAAAATCATATGAAATAATGAGGATCTGATTTCATGGATCCGCTTTTTACTTTCTTCACACCCCAAGAAGCAGCAGTTAGGGTCTCTGCTGGCCACCCCTACCCATTTTGGTGCCTGAGGCAAAAATTAAGTTGCCCCACTGTGCCTAAAGCTAGGGCGGGCCCTTGATCATTCCCCCCCATCCCATTCTTTTAACTGATGCAGATTAAACATCAGACAGTTAGAGAACCATTGGTATTTGCTATTGATAAATTCCCACATTTCCTGCCCTGATCTCAGTTAATTTGTTTTTTTTCCTTCCTAATTACAGATATCAAAAGCTAAACAACAGACCACCGGGCAAACCCTTGACTATTTGGAGAAATGATGCGGAGAAAAAGGTTTTTCTTTCTCCTTCTCACCCCCTTCTATCCTAATATTCTGTCCTCCTGCAATAGCCACGTGGTTGGGCTCACTTGTCTGAGACATCTGAATGCTCAGTTCCTTGCAGGTGTCTTTCTGGGCATGATGCAATGTTTCTAATTTTGCTCACCTCCCATCTTTTCCATATTTTTGGCCACCTTCGGTTCTAGCCAACCCAAACCTTGGTCCGTGCCCATTGTCTGCAAAATCAATCAATCAATCAATCAATCAATCAATCAATCAATCAATCAATCAATCAATCAATCAATCAATCAATCAATCACAAATTCATTCTCGGTTACATTTTTCCAGTCATCCTTTCTATGAAGGTACGATCTCTTATAGAAGTGTTGATTGCAAAATCATAAAAACGGAAAAAACGATTGATTGATTGATTGATTGATTTATCGGATTTCTGCCCCGCCCATTCTAGACCGAAGGTCTACTCTAAAAAAAAACGAGGCGTTTTTAATAGCTTTTGCTGGAAACCCTACAGGCGACAAATTCCAAGGGTCGCTGCAAACCACTCCCCCACGCCAAAGGGTTGCGCAGACTGCAATGCCCAAAATGCACTGCAAAACACACACACACACAACAACCACAACCACAACGCCCCCTGTCGCTTTCGAACGAGAAGTCCCGGCTTGTAAAAGGAAGAGGAAGCAGGGCGATATCTCCGCCTCTGGCTCGGCATCTGGGCGCGCTGGATCCCCCAGTGTGTGTTTTCCCTTTGGGGGCAGGATGGGAAGGGAGCCCGGGAGGGCGGCGGCGGAGACCCCCACCCAGACCCCCTTTGAGGAGGTATGATGCCCGGCTCTCATCCTGGCAACGCCGGCTGATGGTTCGCCTCCCGTCGCTTATGCTGGGAAGCCCCGGCAGAACGGAACGGAACCTTAAAAAAGCCAGCCAGTGGATCCTACAGGGATCTTTTCTTAGTCCATGCAAACAACAGGACTTACTGATTTTAAATATATGTGTGTTGTTGTGTGTGTGTGTTTTTTTTACTCTGCCTTTCTCTTCCAGCTGTGAAAGTTCAATTTAAAGTTGGAAACAATGAGTAATATAAGGGGGTTAATTTCATGGAAAAACAATATTTAAAGCTAAGGACAAAGAGTACGAAGAGGCATCTTCCATAATTAAAAGGCTATATTAAAGCTAAGAGCAATAAGTATGGGGCATTTTTTAAAAAAATGAGTTGATAAGAGTGCCTTGTTTTTAACTACAGCCTTGTCCTTCTCAAGAATTTATTTAATATGTTTAATGAAACGTTTTGCTTAAATATCGGTTTGTTAATTAGTCGTGTGTGTGTGTTAGTGATTAGCTGCATCCCTCAAAGAAATTCAGAAAAAGCTGGACTTGAGGTGCTGTTGAGTTCTGATGGTCTGTAGATATCCCCTTGAATGAACATGTAAATAACATTAAATATTCCTGCTCCAATATGGAAACTTACTGGGGGGAGGTGGAGCTGGTAAAACTCCTCCATAAATATCTAATTGACATTGAAAGCCCTGTTAGGTTTCCTACAAGATGGTTCCAATCTGAGAGCTTGTAACACGAATCGGACCCAACTCCGGGAGGCAGTGGGTAGATATCCCCTTGAATGAACATGTAAATAACATTAAATATTCCTGCTCCAATATGGAAACTTACTGGGGGGAGGTGGAGCTGGTAAAACTCCTCCATAAATATCTAATTGACATTGAAAGCCCTGTTAGGTTTCCTACAAGATGGTTCCAATCTGAGAGCTTGTAACACGAATCGGACCCAACTCCGGGAGGCAGTGGAAGACAGGAGTTAAATATCTAATTGACATTGAAAGCCCTATTAGGTTTCCTACAAGATGGTTCCAATTTGAGAGCTTGTAACACGAATTGGACCCAACTCCGGGAGGCAGTGGAAGGCAGGAGGGCCTGGCGTGATCTGGTCCATGGGGTCACGAAGAGTCGGACATGACTTAACGACTAAACAACAACAAACACGATAGCATCCGTGCATCCTGGAAAAAAGAACAGCCCTTTAATATACAACCATGATTGAGATGGATGAGGCCTGGAGTTGGATCATTCTCCACCTACACAACATATCCGCTCTGTATGACCCTACGTAGTGATACGGTTTCAGAGGGCCAAGAATCATGTCTCGCCTCCCTCGGAGGTGTGTGTTAAGCATATACCAATGCTTATCAACTTATAGCTTCCTTAAAGAACATCTCATTTGTGTTATCTTGGTCTTTGACATGGGGTAGAGATATGGTTTCAGAGGGCCAGAATCATGTCTCGCCTCCCTTGGAGGTGTGCGTTAAACAGCTTATCTTCCCTCTGCATATACCAATGCTTATCAACTTATAGCTTCCTTAAAGAACATCTCATTTGTGTTATCTTGGTCTTTGACATGGGTAAACATTTTGAGAAGATTTTGGCCTTTTCTTTCTCCTTAAAATTCAGGACACCCACTGGGATCCAGAGAAACTGCAATGCGAGTTTCAAGTCTCCGGTAAGGATCTGCACCAAGAAAAGTGGGAACATTAGCAATCACATAAGCTTCTGAGCCCAGGGTTGCATTGAAATTAGTCTACTTTGTCATTTGATGGCATTTTCAACCCTTGTTCTCCATCTACAGTATGTGAACTTGGAAACCCATGTTTTTTTTAAAAAAAATTATTTGCTGCAAAATGAATGACAGGAGTCTCTTTTCTGTGTAGAGTTTGCTTTTCTTCTTTCTAAGGGCTAGAACCCAAAAGGGACTTAGCTGATTTTGTTTCTGACACCGATTCTGTTCTGATAGTTCTTGTATGCCAGTGGTTCTTGGAAAAATGTTAAGTCTCTCTCTCTCTCTGCTTGCCAGGTCCCTTCCCTGGGGGCTTCTCATCCTTCTGACAAGGATGCCCTGGAGCAGGAAATTGAAAAGCTAAAGGAAAATCAGCTTGTGCTGGATGAAGAAATAGCACAGTTACTGGCTGAGTAGGTACCTGGCTTCTTCTGATGTACATTATAAAAGATCTGCAAGGAATGCGGTGGATAGTTCTACACAATACACCGTGAAAAGAGGCGGTGGAAAAGCTGTAGAAAAAGAGAGCAAGGATGATGATAGGGCTGAAGAAACTCTCCTGTAGGGAGAAAATCATTTAAGTCTGTGTGTCTTAGGAAGGGGGGGCAGAATTTCTAACTCCCAGGGTCAGCCTTACCAGAATCCCAATCCAGTTCTCTGTGTAACTTTGTAATTAACAACAAAAATCACATATAGCCTGGCTTCATTAATTTGCTCTGTTCCCTTTTCTGATTTACTCCTATAGAGGATACAGCCTGGAGGAATTAGAAAACCACATCGCTTTGCTCCATGAATACAATGAGATAAAAGACGTGGGACAGATGCTTCTAGGAAGACTGGGTAAGAGCAGGCTGCGGGATCTTGGGGGTAAACCTTGCTTTTAAGCATCTCTCTTTGAAGGAAGAAACCGCAAGTCTTTTACCAGAGAGACTTCACCATCAAGTTACTGCTTATTACTGTGGTGCTCCACAGTTACACATCATCTTACAGGAACTGCATTAGTCAAAGGTGGGAGAATACAGGGTTCTCCAGGTGAACCACAACACCCACAGTACTGCACTGGGGCTGCTGGGAGAGGCAGGCCAGCAAATACCTGGAGGGCCACAGGGCCGCCTTCGCTACTGCAGATAAGCTTTTGTGGCACAAGCAGGGGGGCGGTTTACCTAGCAATCCTGTAGCTGGGATGGAGAGCCATTGATACACCGTGATCCTTCTGTACAGGTAAGCAAAGCCTGCATAAAGCTTTCTGGAAGAGAGCAGTAGGGCCAAGAGGAGCTTTTACCAGCAGGCATGCGTTCCTCAACTATTGTTTTGCTTTTTTGTATTTCTAGCCGTGATCAGAGGAGTCACCACAAAGGAGATATACCCTGAATTTGACCTGGACCTGAACGACTAGAAGGAATATGAAACGGTTGTGTAGACCCAGACAAGAGACTAAACACCGGGGGGGGGGGGGGGGGGAGNGTCGAACTGCGTGGTGAGGGTGGAGAAGAGAAAAAGGTCTATTGTAAGTTCAGATTAGAAAAAAAAATACAGGCAGAGAAATGGTGAACAGCCTTTGATAGGTTTAATGGATGGGAAAGCTGTCAGAATTATCTACCAAATTAGTGGGCAAAGGGTGGAAGGCACGTTCCACATTTGAATCTCTCTCCAGAATTTCCAGAGATTGCTGGGGGTTTGCTATTTTTCTACTCTAGCTCTGTTGGGTGTGAAAAGATGAGCTATAATAGGCAATGTTGAGGCTATAATATATGGAGGAGGTCAGGGTTTCTTCCGTATGGATGCTGTGAAATGCCCTGACAGGCTAAATCAAAAGGCGAAGAATTATGTGGCCCTCCCTATGCTGTAGGATTACCACTCCCCATTATGGATAGGTTGGTATGAGTTTCAGTTCAACCGTTTCTGGAGTGCCACCAGGCTGAGCAAGCCTTATCCTGTCCTTTTTCTATGAAAAGAGGGGGGAAAAGAATGTTCTCTGTACATTCTAGCCACCTCCATGATTTGAACAGTTTCTCATCTTACACAGTCTGTTGAAGCTTTCTCTTGAACACACGGGCTATTATCTAGTTTAAGGAAGGAAACTTACCAGGGCATCTCAATGTCTGTGAAAGCAATGTATCCATTGAGCATGTTGGTAATTAATTTTTTTTTTCAAACAAGAGGAGTGTGTTTATTTGTTTAAATGGAAATGTTTGAAAAGTTTGAACTTTGTTTTTGGGGATTAATAAGGGAAAGTCAGCACAAAAGAATATTTTGTTAAAGAGAACCGGGGTGAACATGTTGTTTAACTGTTTATATGAAAGTATCTACTCATGTAGGTACTGATCTTTAATACTAGCTTTACTGAAATCTAGATACTTTGATACATATTTCACTGTTGCCTTTATGATACCAGTTTTATCTTGTAAAAAACCCTCAATATCTTTTCTGATGAGAGGTGGTTTTATCTGCTTTTAATTCATACATAAAATAAATATTAAGCCACCCCACTTGTGTAGGAGTTGTAGCCTTGCACAACACTGCCAGTGATTTAAGCCAGAACCGCAACTGGCCAGTACTTTGATACATATTTCTCTGTTGCCTTTATTATACCAGTTTTATCTTGTAAAAAACCCTCAATATCTTTTCTGATGAGAGGTGGTTTTATCTGCTTTTAATTCATACATAAAATAAATATTAAGCCACCCCACTTGTGTAGGAGTTGTAGCCTTGCACAACACTGCCAGTGATTTAAGCCAGAACCGCAACTGGCCAATCTGTGGAATATTCTCCTTTTATCACTGAATTATCCAATGAGGTGGTTTCCTTCACTGTCCCTCTGTGTTTCATCTCCTGCTTTATCCATCTCTGTCTCTTCCTCTTCGCTGGAGCCTGCGTAGAAGTCCCGATAAGCCTGGCTGTTTTGGAGTTCTGCTTCTACTTTAAGCTTGGACTTCCAGATGGCATGCAGAATATTCGGCAGCTTCCACTGCGTTCTCAAGAGAGCGTCCTCCAGCACAAACACACCATCCCGAATCCTCCTCACTTGCGTGCACACGGCAGATGACTTCAGTTCCAACCCAATCTCGTGAACAACCTTTCTAAGATACTGTGCGGTCTCGTGCATACAGTGAATTTCTGTGGGGGAACAGAAAGTCATCTCAAGAACTTGCAGTTTAAAAGCGGAAAAGACTACAGTGGTGCCTCGCTAGACAGTTACCCCGCATGATAGTTTTTTCGCTAGACATTTACTTTTTGCGTTCGCTATAGCGATCCACAAAATAGTGATTCCTATGGGGGAATTTCGCTGGACAATGTTTGATCCCTGCTTCGCAAACCGATTTTTGCTAGACGATGATTTGCTTTTCACTAGACAAATGATTTCGCTAGACAGCGATTTCAGTGGAACAGATTATCATCGTCTAGCGAGGCACCACTCTAGTCTTTAAAGTGAATTGTTACTTCATCATCCTTCACTTCCATTTCCACAAAATGCCACCCTTAAGATGTGTTGGACTACATCTCCTATTATCCTCAGGCTGCCTTTTGGGAATTTTCCCATTGGACAGAAGTTGGACCTAGACATACCCAGCTGGAATTCTGGAGGCGCAAACTCAAGACACCGCACAGCCGTGATCAAGGGGGGGCTTTTCTCCATGGGGCGTAGTAATCCTCTCACCGCCAGCTCATAGGCCTCTTGAGTCTTCAGGTCAATGTTGGCATATCTGGAAAGATGTGAAGGTAGACGATGGAACAAAAAAACGAGTTTGAACTTTCCTAACGTCAGGTTTGTCGGTGTCGCCTCCAATCAGTTCTCAGGTTTTGCCCACCAAAGCGTATCCATTCTCATGGACAGCTCTATGGCAAGCAGCGCTTATTTTATTTTATACAACTTATGAAAGAAATCTGTAGGTCATTGGTAGTGCCACCGCTTGGCAGACGGAAGGCCCCAGGTTCAGTCACTGTCATTTCTTAGTAAGGCAAGGAAATGACCGTGTCTTAGACATTTCAGAGAGGTAGTGTAATACACAATACAAAGCTAGTGGTATACAGTTCCTTTCGGTGCCAAGAATGAGTAACCGCAGCTGCAGAAGTTACTATGCTGTGGTGATAGTGGGTTGCGCCACTTCAGTTACCTGCTAGGATTCATGCATCACCACACCAGGTTCTACCCACCCCACCCCCATGGCCTCGTGAAGTGGTGGTGGGATTTCTCCCAAAATCTTCTGCACAGCTTTGTATCTGTATGTTCCCAAGGAAATACTTCAGCCCAACTACTGAGCAGACACTGTAGGAAATGCACATGAGTTCTATCAGAATAGATTAGACATACAGGTAGAATCAACACACTTCCACAGCAATGGGCTTTAATAGCCTGTTCACGTCTGTCTATTATTCTTTCAACTTTATTTTTGGTTGGGGAGAGATTAGAATATTAAAAGATAATAGTTTACAAGGAAATTGTTGTTCACAAAAACATCCACTTCTTTTGTTACAACTCTGTCCAGTATTTGCAAACGTGAGTAGGGGTAAAGGCTCTGGTCACATAATTCCAAAAAATCAAATTGAAAAGTTTTGGTTCTAATTTATTTATTTATTTGATCTCTATGCGGCTCATCTGGTCTAGAAAAGAGATGCCTAACCCTCCTGTCCTGAAGAAACAGCACAAAACAAAAAAGGTAGTTTGTGTTTCAGAGGGAGGTTTTTTTTAAGCACAAGACTGGGTAAGCTTCCAGGCACCGGCAATGCATTACAGAGTGAGCTAGGAAAAAGGCATTTGAAAAAAAAGAAGAAGCCCAACCTCTCTATGAAACTTGCACCTCAATATTTAAAACGCTGTTTCATGCAACTGCTGTCTGTGTAACGTTTTGCTATGCTGAAAATCAGAATGCGAAACGCAGCCAAACCCAACTCTGCAATCAACGGCAACACACAAGGATGGCTTTATTGTCTGGCAAATGAACGGAGCTACTGTTTCGGCACACAAGAATCTGCAACATTTTCTTTCCGCAGGTCCAATCATGTCTGCGCCTTGCTTTTGCAAAAGGAGTGCATTACTACAAAGTCTGTTTTATCCAATGGTCACCACCAAAAATGGTTATAATATAATGGATATTGGTGGATTTTTGTCGGCTTGTTTTCAGAGTCTCCCGTTTTCAGATTTGTTTTCCTTAAAAAAAAAAAAAAAAAAAAAACCATTTTATCCAATGATCACCACCAAAAATGGTTATAATGGAGATTGGTGGATTTTTGTTGGCTTCTTTTCAGAGTCTCCTGTTTTCAGATTTGTTCTTTTTTTTTTAAAAAAGGGTGGAATCTCATCCCACCGTGCCAGAACCCTTGTGTTGCCTGCTGAGCAAATATTCTTCCGTGTCTGCTCAGAGGTCATTTCCTTGCTTTACTCTTCTTTCCTCATCCCCCACCCTCTCCCAGTTTGCACAAAAAGGTCTCCAGCGATCTCAGCCAGAGAAAAAGAGAGAGACTGGATTAAGACAAGTTGCAGCAGTAAAGGGAAGTCTCGTCAAGGTTTCTCCTGCTTAGGTGGGAAGTCCTCTAGCTCCTTTCCCATCAAGAGCTCTTCCAGCTTCTGGTCAAGCTCTGTCGGAGAACGAAACATACACCACAGTACGAAGGCCATGCAGATTATGCCAATCAAGACCCCTCGCCACACGGGCTGCTCATGATCGCTGCCCATGGACTGGGCCACAGTCCATTTCTTGGCAGGACTCTTGAGGTAACTAAGTGGCTGGGACTCCTCTCGGTCTTTATGCTCTTGGGGCGGGCAGTAGTGGCGTCGTGGGAGGAAGTAGAGGGGCGCCGAGAGCCTGGGGGGGAAGAGAAGGAAAAAAAATCTGGGGTGAAGAGGGGACAGCGGGAAGCCCAATCAGCTGGCCCCCACCCCACCCCATCTCTTTTCTCCTCTTGGGGTGGACCCTTTGATTCCATAACTGCTCCAAAAGCTAGGGGCACCATGGTGGGGGCCAAAGGAGCGGAAAGCAGTTTCAATAAGTAGATCATAAAAATAACAATTGCATAATGTCAGGTCAGTTCCAACCTACAGTGACCCTTCCCAAGGTTTGTAGGCAAAGAATGCTCAGTAATAGTTTCCGCTTCCCTTCTTCCGGGGGTAGCCCTGGGACTGTGCAGCTTGATCAAGGCCACCCAGGCTGGCTCTAATCTGTAGGAGGCCCAGTGAGGGAATTGAACCCCCAGACTCTGCAGCCAGAAACCTACACCACTGAGCTATCTCGATAGTTTATTTTGAAAGCTCTAGTTACAACACAGTTTTTTTTTAAAGATCCAGAGTGGTCATATCTAGTTAAAGATGTCTGTGAGCATGAGCAAAGTGCTGTTGCCTGAGCAGAAAGTACATCTTTCAGGTTAGGGGGTATTCACTGGGAACGGCACCAACGATTAGCCCAAGAGACAAAAACTGCGGAAGTATCTTTACTTTCTTTCCTATACCTGTTTTCAAAATTGTATAAAGAAAGGCTAGTTTCTGTTGCCTTACCGCCACAAAAGCTGTACTTTTGCTGGTCCTCCCAAGACTGGCAATGTATCTCACAGACACCATCTAAATCCACAGATTTTGGAAGGTCAGAGGCTGCTTTTACCAAGTCAAGGGAGGCCCTCCAGATGTTGCTGTCATCATTTCTCACCACCAACTGAGCTGGCTAAGATGGATGGGAAGCTATTTCTGATGACATCTGAAGAGGCTGCATTTAGCCTTTCGAAAGACTAAACCCGGGTTTTTATATGCACAAAATTGGGTCTCCAACACTGAGTTACAAGCTGTGAGATCAGATACCTACTGCAACAAAGCTTTGTGATTAGATCCTTGGATAACAGAAAGGACGCGCTCCAGCTGTTCCCGGGTGATGTGCTCTGAAGATAAAGAAAGCAGAAACAACACTGAAAGATGGGTGGCTTTTTTTTTCGTGTTTTAAGGGCAACCACAGCAGAAGCAAATTTCTGGACTGGGAGGATTTGAAGACATGCTTTATCTATATGGTTTTAGTGCTCTAATAGAGATATTCCTTGTAAAAAGACGGCCAAGGGTATATAAAGGTGATCCTGTCCAAATCAAACCACAGTTTCAAAACCTGGGGGGGGGGGCACCTGGTGGGTCACGTTTAGTCTGGATGGGAGTAAACTTTTTCCTATCTGAAGTGACAACAGGAGAAAAACGAAAGCCGCATCAGATTCACTTACCAAAGGTGGTCTTTTCAATCAGTTTGCCCGTGTCTGAGAAGTCATCGGTGGCTTTGCCAAACAGCCCACGAACCGTGTAGGTCTTTGGAAAGGAGAAAGCTGTGAGATGTGATGTACTTAAGAGTGGGAACGCTTCACCGCAAAGCCCAGCTGACACTGCCTGGCCCCCAGTGGGTCGTCGTTGCTGGATACAGAACCAAACCACGACAATATAGCCGGTGTCTTTGGCATTGTTTTCATGTGTTCCTTAGAGCTATCCAGGCGTTCTTAATAATCTCTCTCTCAACCCACAAGCTGGAACAATCATCAGGTGGAGCCCCAGTCTTTCAAGTTTGCCTCCTTCAGTAAATCTGCTATACTCTGTCATGCTTCCCGTAGGTTTAGCCCATAGGGAAGGGCCTTAGCAATGGTGTTTTAACTTAAAGCAATCAAGTGCATTCTCTAAGCAAATGTTGGGGAGTAGAATCGTGTTGACCTACAGTTCTGTTTCATTCTACTCCCGCATTTCTCATCCTGAACCGAAATGCTCAAGTCCCACCCATTCCCAACACGCTGGGGCTCTCTGGAGCACGAAGCTTCTCCCTGTTCTAGTTTCTGCCAGCCTTAAGATCTTTTGCACCTCCGCAAACCTCAGGCCGCCCAAAAACCTGCCAAGGCCTCCCACTTCACCAGCTCGGCGTCACACAACATCAGCATATACTCTTAAGCACCAGAAAACAGAGGGCAGAATTCTTACCCTGGTGAAATGGGCACTGTGGCAGTCCACCAGCTTTTTGGTGCCTTTGCCTGCTGCGAGGACTGAAAGATAAACAAAGGGGTGGGGGGGAAAGAAATTAGCATGTCCTTTACCATGGAACAGATCTGCAAAGCATTTCCCTCTTTCAACATTAGTCTTGATTTCTAATACCATTGAACCGATCTGCAAAGCATTTCCTGTAGATGGAAATGCAACAAACCCAGAGCCCCTCTTTCAACATTAGTCTTGATTTCTAATGAAAGTTCTTTTCAGTGTGGCACCACATATCTTTAACAGCTGTTTTCTCTCTCTCTCTCAGCCTGGACATCAGAGGGAAAAGAAAGACATACCAATACACCTAAAGGGATACTTACAAGGTATGGTTTCTCTCTTTCTTTCGCTCCCATAATTATTTTACATAAACAGAAGAATCCTGCTTTAAGATTTAAGTAAACTTATTTGAAATGCGATTGAATTGGAAGGTGTCCGAGTGCCAAGTTTAGCTAAAATACGGTAACCTGGTGGATGAAATTTGGCAAATTCAGTCACGAGCGCAGGGTAAGCTAAGCCGGTGTAGTCCTGACCATTCATTTTGGCCGAGGCGGTATAGTCCTGCCCAGAGTGTCCGCCGCCCCATCCTAATTCAAAGAGTGCCTGGAAAAATCTGTTCTGGGCACCCATCTCAAAGAGAAGCCCACAGAGAGATTTGCCCACAGGGCTGCTCTGCTGCCTGAATCCTGCTGGCAGAAGAGCCATAATATAAAAGAAGGAAGAACTTAGTCCATATCCGAACCGCATCCAGCCCAGGGACCACAGCCATGATGACGGCACAAAGTTAAGTCCATGACAGGGGGACCTTGAGTAACATTTAACACCTCCTGGTTGAGAGGTGTCTTGGACTCATCCTGACTTCAAAGAGACTACAGTGACAGTTTAATGAACCCTCTGGCCACACCAGACACCTCAGACTGCATCTTTCGGTGCCTTTTTACTTACCAAATACCCCGGAGGACTTTTTATCCAGACGATGACCTACTCCCATTTTCCAGTGAGTGAATAGGGGTCCAGACACTGTAGAGAGAGAGAGGGAAAAAAGTACAGAATTATTATTCATTTATTTATTTATTTATTTATACTGGAGAGAGAGAGGGGAAAAAAGTACAGAATTATTATTCATTCATTTATTTATTTATTACTTTGATTTATATATACCGCCTCATTAGTACCGAAGCACTATTTTGGGTGGTTTACAGACAGTTAAAACTACATAAAAGGACATATAACATAAATAACAAAAAATGTGGTCTTAAAAACTTAAAACAACGTGCAACCAATTTTTGAAGAGAGGCAAGACTGGAGGCGAGGCATTCAACCAGAGTCCGTGTGAAAGGCCTTCGTGAACAGTATATCTGTGAAGATCCTCATGTGCATATAGAAAACCCCTCACTCAAAAAGGTGGAGGAAAGCCTTGGATACAATCTGTCTTCTATCCATCCCCAGAAAGAGCTGGAGGACACCCACCAGAAAGACCACACTGTTAATGACCATTAATGACCCATGTCCATCTAAAGAGCCTAGAGACCAGGGGGAATTGAAACCAACATGGAGGATATGTCATGAGTCCAATTGCCATGACTCAGCTTCCAGATCACATCTTTAACTGGCTCCTAAATGAATACAAGGAGGGGGACAGGTGTAAGTCCTCTGGGAGTTGATTCCATAATGTAGGTGCCACCGCCAAGAAGGCCCTGCCTCTAGTAAATGACTTTCTCTCCTCTCTCAGAACGGCCTGGCCTGAGAAGATCTGGTGTTAAAACACGTGTGGATCACAGTCCAGGATTCAGACATATGTCTTTGCAAAGAATGCATCACAGACCATCATGGGAAATAAAACTGCCGTATTAAAGATTAATTAACAGTGGCTAGATGTGTCAGAAATAAACACCTGAGTAAAGTTAACACAGTAACATTTGTAGTAGTAGTATTACTAATATTGTTACCTGTTTATCTCAATCTACAAGGAGAAAAAATATGCAACAAATCAAATGAATACCTTACGATAAAAACTTTTAATCGATGGGACAAATCAGTTATTTCCACTGAACAATAGCACACAGCTAGGTTGTGCTCTCGCACAAAGAGTTTGATTTGGCCATCAAGTCACACCAGGCCTTAATCACAATGAACCACGGAGCTACGCAGAGGAGTTCTGAAACACTGGACCACTCTGGATCAGCACCCTGACCGGAGGCAGCTTTTTGTCACAACCCCAAGCGGACTCAAAGTTCAGGGGAAATCTTAAAGTTTGCCAACATCTCATGTTTTCTCCACCTCTTACCTAATGGATGGTCAACCAGTGACGATTGTTCAGTAGCCGTTATTGTCAGCTCCTTCCCATCTGCTCCTTCCACCGTGCTGGGTAAGAAATAGATATGCTTCCTCGGTGCCGGGCGCCTGAATTTATTCAAGTCTAAAGACAGAAAATACAAACGGGGAAAGTGTTGTGGTTTTTTTTCCCCCCCTCGTAGATTTAAAAGCAAAATTATGACTGTATAGTAGTCTGTATGAATTAAGAAGTTATAAACTTTTGCTCTCTATGCCTCTAACCTGATATTTGGAAGGGCACCAGTGAAGAAATTGGGAAATATCAAGGGTAAGGATGTGTCATTGGAGGTTCAGGCCACAATAATCCACACAACTGTATTCTCGATCACCATGTATGAGTGTGAAAGCCGGAGAGTGAAGAAAACTGACAGGGGGGAAAAATGGTTCCTTTGAAATGTGGTGCTGGAGGAAAGCTTTGCAGGTACCCTGGACGGCCAGAAAGAGGTACAGTGGGGTCTCGACTTACGAACGGCTCGACATACGAATGTTTCGACTTATGAACCACTCTCATAGGAATATATGGACTCGACTTACGAACTTAGATTCGAGTTACGAACTCTTTTTTTTTCCTTTTTTAAAAAGCTAAGTCATCTTAGGTCAAAAGGAAAAAAGAAAAAATATCCCCCTCTAGTGGCAGAAGGCGGAATAGCAGCTTCCCATTAGTTTCTATGGACGAAAAGAGCAGATACGGATTAAATGGTTTTCAATGCATTCCTATGGGAAATGCAGATTCGATTTAAGAACTTTTCGACCTGAGAACTGCCTTCCAATACGGATTAAGTTCGTAAGTCGAGACCCCACTGTACAAGTGGGTCCTAGATCAAATCAAGCTTGAACTCTCTCTGGAGGCAAAAAAAACCTGAGGCTGTCCTCACTTGGGCACACCATAGGAGGGCAAGATATGTTGGACAAGACAATCATGCTGGGAAAAGTTGAAGGCAAGAGAAAAGAGGGAAAGACCAAATAGGAGATGGACCGACTCGCTAAAGGAAGCCACAGGTCTTAAGTTTACAAGAGCTGAGCAAGGCGGCTGAGCTTGCATCTAACTCAGTGGTTCTTAACCTTTGTTACTCGGATGCTTTTGAACTGCAACTCCCAGAAACCCCAGTCCGGACAGCTGGTGGTGAAGGCTTCTGGGAGTTGCAGTCCAAAACTCCTTAAACTCCAAGGTTAAGAACCAGCGATCTAACTAAATTAAGATTAACCTTCCTACAGCATCTCAGCAAGACCTTTCCTTTTTGGCTGTAGTCGGCGGTTCCCATGCATGGCAACCCTCCTTAAAAACTGAGGACTAGAACCTTCATCTATCTCCTCCAAGTCCTTGCCCTACGATCTTACCCTTAAGCCACGATGCCGCCAGCCACCCCAAAATTCCCACCCCCAAAAATTATAATTTAAGAGAGGATTTAAAAATAGTCACAAAAAAATATGGAGAAGGCACCGGTTCCAACTCCTGGGCCACCGCATTCAGACGTGCAGCAAACAGATCGTGAGTTGCTTTTTTGCAAACGGAAAGGGGGAGAGGAGCGAGGCTTGCATAACGCTTTTGTGTGTTTGTGTATGTGTTGTGTGTGTGTGAGAGAGTGTGTGTGTGTGTGAGAGAGAGAGAGATGCATTGCACCCCCAAACCCCTCACCTTTGAGGAGGTTGGTCTCCACCGCGTCCCGCACCTGCTTCCAATACACGCCGGGGGGCTTGTACACGGCGAAGAGCCCTTGCAGGCCGGCCTTGGCCGATCTCATGGCGCATCCGTGTCGCCCTCTGCCTATGGCTGCCTATGGGTGTCCCCTCCTCAAGGCGCCCCCACATGGGCCTCGCCTTCGCCGCGTCCGCCGCCCAATGCGCTCCGCCCGGAAACAAAGCGCTCCCGAACAAGCGGGCCGAGTCCTTCGCGGAGTGCCGGCAAAAACAAAAAACAAAAAAACGCCCGGTTGCACGTGAGAACGCAACCGGATGACACTCCCGGCAACAGAGCTAAGGGCTCCTGCCGGGCATAAAGTGAGTGCAAAAAGAAGACTCTCTCTCTCTCTCTTTTTAAATTGTAATTGATTTTGCACTCTTGGGTGCCCCATGCACACGTGCGTTTGAAGCTGGGAAGCCGTACACGGAAGCGTTTTGGGGGAAGAGGGAGAAGACTCCTGCCCACCCACGCGTCCGAGTTTTGCACCGTTTGCAGCCGGAGGACCCGCGCCCGGAGCGGGCAAAGGCACCCAGGGGACGCCAGACCCTCGTTTGGGATCTGAATCCGGCCAGGTCCTGCGTGCACGCTTCTCAAACGCGTGTCTTTCATTTCGCCTCGATTTGAAGGGGGAAGGCAAAGCCTTGATGACAGCCATGGCGTGGTGGCCCTTGCGCCTCCCCAGAGGTTTCCTGCTTCGGGTAATAAATGCAAGAAGAGTCTTGGGTTCCGACGTGATTGTAGGCAAGTCTGTGCTCGTTTCCTCTCTTTCCCCATTTTCTGATCGCTGTGCTTTGGCCCCTGTTGCAAAAACAACCCAATGCCCTTTTGTTGTTATCATTGTTATCATTACTAACATTATTATGGTTTCCATTGACTCAACTTGCTTTTAAGAGAGCGATCCTGCGCATACTTAGGAACAAATAGATCAATCCTATGCGGATCAGTCTTTCTGTCTTCAGCGAGACTTACTCCCAAGTAGACGTGTCTAGGGTTGCAGTCTTAAGGCTGAAAGAGTGGTTCTGAAGAATTGGGGAGAAACTGTCGTGCTCCAGATGTTCCTGGACTCCAGATCCCATCAGCCCTGCCATTATGACGGATGATGGGAGTTATAGTCCATCATCATGGCAGGTTGCCCAGACTTGGGTTGGAATGAACCCTTGTTCCTTTCCACAGAGTTGATGCCGGTCAGTATCTCAAATCAAATACAGTATAATATAATCAAATATAATCAACATTAATATAATCAAAATCCTCATTAATGCTACCTCTCGGGGCTGTTTTGAGGATAAAAAGACCTATCTATATTTGAGTTCTCTTCCTTTAATTATATGCTCCCTTTTTATTCATTCCTCCCATTCAGTTTACATACTTGCCCATCTAGCAAATTGCTACTCTGGGTGGGGTACGACAAATTAAACCTGCATCCTGTAATAATACAAACAACAGACTAAATGCCAAACAGGTACGTATCCTGGCGGGGTAAACTTTCTCAAGGAGATTGGCAGCTCCAGAATAATGCATAGCAAAGTGTGAAATCCCAGTCTAAAAATATTATTGTCACAGCAGACAAGAGCCACGTCGGCAGAATGAAACAATTTTAAGAAGTGCAAACAGGCAGCAAAAAATTAGCAAGCGGAGAGTTGAGCAGATAGATGGTTAAAATCTTAGCGTGTGGTTTTCAAATGAACAGGGTCTGCTTATTTGTTGGGTGCCTTTCCAAAGCTGGGGATTTGGGACGGTTTTGCCTGCGCTGTTTCTAACTCCACTTTTTCCGATAAGGAACGTGTTGCTCAGGGACAAGACGCCAGCCTTGCCGTTCGAGCCAAACGGCGGCTGCCGAGAGCCCGGCGGAAGAACAAAACTATTACCCCCTCTACCCGGGCCACATCCCCACCAGTCTTCTGCAGAAAAGCCTGCTGGCCGTGGGTTCGGCGTTCATGGCTCTTTACGATCCGTATCGTCATGGTGAGTTGAGGATCCTCAATCTTGGGCAGTGCTGGCCTGTGCGGTTCCTCTATACAGTGGTGCCTCACTTGACGACATTAATTCATTCCAGCAAAATCGCTGTAGAGCGAAACGTCGTCAAGCGAAATAAAAAAGCCCATTGAAATGCATTGAAAATCGCTCAGTGCGTTCCAATGGTCTGAATAACTCACCATCCAGCGAAGATCCTCCATAGGGCGGTCATTTTCGGGTGCCTGTGTAGTGAAAAATGCCTCCTAAAAACAGTGGGGAGCCATTTTGAGCAGCTGGCGGCCATTTTGAAAACCCAACAATCAGCTGTTTTGATTGTCGTAATGCAAAAAAAACCCCATTAAAACAATGTTTTGGGATCGCAAAAACATCATCGTGAAGCAGATTTGTCGTTATACGGGGTAATCGTTAAGCGAGGCATGACTGTAGTTACTTCTGGAGACAGCAGGAGGAAGGCCCGTAAAAAAACTGTCTGGAGTCAGCAGGAGGAAGGCCCGTAAAAAAACTGGCTTGCTTTCCTAGTTATGTTCCAGGGCAGCGGGTTCCCGATCTTGGGTCCCCGTTCTTGGACTACCACTCCCGGAAGCCTTCCGGCGGCGGGTTCCCGACCTTTAGGTCCCCAGACGTTCTTGGACTACCACTCCCAGAAGCCTTCCCCGCGAGCTGGGCTGGCCAGGATTTTTGGGAGCTGTAGTTGAAGCGCATCTGGGTACCTAAAGGTCGGGAGGTACAAGCTAAGTGCACCACAGCTGAAGCCCACACTGATTTGCAAGGAGCTTTTAATGACCCCAAATACCCTCAAATAGGTTAGAGTAGAACACTTTTTTTTAACGGTTTAAAAACATGGCTCCTTAAAGACTAATAAGATCTGTTTGGCACAAGAATTGTGGGCAGCAGCCACTTCTTCAGGTGCATGGAGAGTAGATTCCACAGAGGGACCTTTCTTACATTAATTAATTAATTAATTAACTAACTAACGTTCTTCAGGTGCATGGAAAGTAAATTCCACAGAGGGACCTTTCTTAATTAATTAATTAATTAATTAATTAGATTTCTATCCCGCCCATCTAGACCAAGGGTCTACTCTTGCCAGTTTACAAATTTAAAAACAATAAAACCAAAAACATATATTAGAAGTCCATTATAGAGCCAGTATGGCATGTAATTAATGGAAGAGTAGATGTCCGGCATGGTGGTGCTTTTAAAAATGGTGGTGCAAGGTCCTTGCACAATCATGCACAATCGTTCGTGGCTGTAGTGAAGAGTCACAAGGCTGTATTTGGACCCCCTCCTGGCGCCACTTCAACCCCTCTCAGCTACCCATCAGATGAGGGTTGGTTTTTTTAAAAGATTGTTTGCACTTCCTCAAATTTTGGGGGGGTTTGCTCCATAATATGAGGTCTCTTTGTAACTGTTCACTGACCCCCCCTTTTTTTCTCCCCAGATATGGTGGCCGTCCTCGGGGAAACGACGGGTTACTTAGCTCTGCAGAAGCTGCGGGAGCAGATGAGAAATGACCCCGAAGGATACCGGATCCTCCAGTGCGTGAACATGTTGTTCTGGCCCCATAACCAGGAAAGGATCCCGTTAGAGGATCTGGCGCTGTTATTTTTTTTTGGGGGGGGGGTCGGGATGTCTTTCATAACAAGGTAGCCTAGTGGAGGCCATGGTGACTTCAGTGTCACGGGATAGTTAAGTCCGCTTTGGTTTTTAGTCCGAACCTGACAGACATCCCTGGAAAAACAAGCAACTTGATGAAGACTGAGTGTGTGTAGTTGAAATAGAATGAAGGCCAATGTCATGGGGAAAATGCCTTTCCTTTGCAGAGAGCGGCCCCGGATACGCCTCTCCACACTGGATATTGCTGGACTCCGGATGCTTCCAGAAGGGACCTTTGGCCGGGAATACGTTCGCTTTTTGGACGACAATGTGAGCACAGCACGTAAAGCGCCTTTCGTCGGGCAGGAAGCTGGCTCCTGCGTAATATTGAGAAATGTCCCTCTTCAGTTTAAAAACAAGCACACGTGCTTCTAGTCCTCATGAAGGTGGTGATTGGGGATCCTGAAAATGATAAAAGAAGAGGGAGGAAAGGACAAGGTTCCAGTGTTTTTAGATGCCAATGGAAATAATGTTTGTAGCCAAAATCCATGACCTGCCCTTTCTTTGGCCTGCCAGCCTGTGGGTAAGCTGGTATTCATTCATTCTTCACAAGACCACCCGTCTTTCAGAGACACAGCATGCATGCTGGGAGTTACAGTTCAATACATGTCACCTTTCCCAATTCTGATCCTTCATCCCTTTTGGGCCACAGAGAGCCAGGCATCTTTTTTTTCCCCTTCTGTTTGGCAGAGAGTTTCCCCGGACACGAGGGTATCGGCCAGGTTTGTCGATGACGAAGAGCTGGCCTATGTCATCCAGCGTTACCGAGAAGTCCATGACTTGATGCACACCCTCCTGGGTATGCCCACCAACATGCTCGGTGAGTTCCCTGGGCCTGTACTGTCCTGTGGCGCCCCCCGAGAGAAGGCAGAATGACAGGGAGGAAAGCCGGTAATCTATGTAAGAGGTCACCCTTTGCTCGAAGAGGGAATTCCTGTCCATTTGGGCCCAGTTGGCACGACCAACCTTCTTGTGATCTTTGCATCGAGGCTGGGGTGTCAGAGTGACTTTTCACCCACCTTCAGGATCCAAGCTGCCACACCACGAGGTCTAAGGCTGGTTAAGCTGGAGGCCGAGGAGCTGTCCCTCTGACATTTAAAAGGCAGTTAGGGAAGGCTGTGGGGAGTGGAGTGCACGGGCGTTGGGCAATCAGTCCTGAGCCTGAAGCCAGTGCACTCTAGATTTTACACCGTGGAGAAAATGAGTCATCCTGTTTTTGCCCTTTATCTGCTCTTCTGTGTTGGGCAGTACTAGGACTGAAATTGCAGGAGGGCTTTGAGCGCCTGCAGGATTCTGGGTTATTTTTAGATCGGTGGTGGCTGAGACACCCGACACTCTGCACCCTTTCGTGTCCTTCTTTCTCTTACTTACTTCCCCTCACCCCACACTTGAGAAATTCTGCAAGAAGACTGCTCATTTCTCACTCTTTTGGCGATATATTCTCTTTTTTCCCCGTCTGATTTAAAGCGTCTAGCCTTAAAGTCAGCGATCTTCCAAGACTGTTAGACTACAACTCCCATCATCCACAAGCCAGCCAACATCGGTTGTGATAGATAAATTTAACAGGAGGAATAATCCAGTCTTTCTTTCTGGCAGGCGGACACCAGGTTAGAGAAGCCTGCCTTAGCAGTTAAAAAAAAGAGAAAAATCAGCATTTATTTATTTATTTATTTATTGGACTTATATACCGCCCCATAGCGCTACAAGCACTCTCCGGGCGGTTTACAATTTTAATTATAAAGGCTACACATTGCCCCCCCAGCAAGCTGGGTACTCATTTTACCGACCTCGCTGAGTCAACCTTGAGCCGGCTACCTGGGATTTGAACCCCAGGTCGTGAGCACAGTTTTAGCTGCAGTACAGCGTTTTAACCACTGCGCCACGAGGCTCTTAATGGCCGGCAGATGGTCTTTGGCTCCTTCTGGGTGTAGGCACGATGGTCTGGTGCGGTCCCAGGAGCAGCTCCGGCCTGAAAGCTCTCTCTCCCCCTAGGCCAGGTGGTTGATGTTGAGAGGGGGTGAGGCAGCCAGGAGCAGCAGGCCGCAAGCATCCACGTATTGTGGGAATTCAGATCTTTCTTGCATTTTATTATTGTTTCTTCTTAGGGGAGATTGCAGAGAAAAATCAGCATCCATATATTGCGGAATTCTGATTTTTCTTGCATTTTATTATTGTTTCTTCTTAGGGGAGATTGCAGTGAAGTGGTTCGAGGCTGTCCAGACTGGCCTGCCCATGTGCATTCTGGGAGCAATGTTTGGCCCCGTCCGTCTGAACACCCGGTACGTTCAGAAGCTGGTCAGTTCTGTGTGAAGAGACAGGTAATGTCACTCCATCGGTTGAGAGATGGACTCTTGGGCCCGGGTGGGTAGCCTTCACACCATGTCTATTGTTTGATGAACTTGGGGGCCGCTCCAAAAAAGCCTCTCTTCATTAGATGCCACAGCACTGGAAGGGATGAATAAGTCCTTCCTCCACACAAAACGATCCCTCGGGCTTTAAAAAAGGTGCCGTTCTCTTCTTGGGAGTGAGAATTTGATGAACATTGATCGAGGGAGGGTGCCATCAGCAAGAAGGCCCCGTCTCTCATCAGTCACGGCCGAGTGGTGGGGAAGCTCAGAGAAAGATACAGGAGGAGGTTTTGGCCAGGCTCATGTGGGGGAAAACAGCCCACCAGTTTTCAAAAAAGCAATTCTTTCCATTCCCCAATTCATCCAGGAAACTGCGGATCCTGACTACGGAGCTGATCCCGTGGGCCATTAGGAGCGGACGCAGCGCCAACTCCATCCTGAACGTCTATTACGAGGAGCGCTGGGAGCAGACAGTGGAGTCCCTTCGTAACGAAATCGGCATCCTGCCACCCCCAGAGGTACAAGTCCAGGGCCGTGCTGGACAGGAGAAGACCGGCCTCCTTTGATGGACCCAGGAGCCGTTAGAGGAACCGAAGAGATTAAACTTGTGGCAGTGAAACACAGCTTGCGGTGGATCGCCCACGATCGTCTCTGTCTGATCTAACCGAAAGTTTTCTTGAGCCATCAGCAATGTGTGAATGTGTTCCCGGTATTATTATTTTTTTGAACGGTCACTAAAATTTGGGCGAGGGGGCTTTTTCTATTTAAAAAGGAGCTTTTCAAAAAGAAAAAAATATTTGAGGCTAGTTGAGGTGCAGGAGAAGGTGCAGGTGGTGGTTGGATGATTGTCTGCCCGTCCCTTAGATCCATGCCTCTGTTGAGACCAGCGCTAATAAGCGAGGAGCATCAGTGGCCTCCCTGCCCAACGACGGCTTTAGACGTTGGGCAACATCGTCAGCCGCAAATAGAAGCTTGCTTTTCTCATCCTCAAGAAGTCACGGAGTCAGGCACCACGAGGACAACATGTGTAAACTCTGGACGGTGAATGAAAACATGTTTTATTATTCCACGGAGAAGAGCCAGAAGGCTTCCCTTTGACTGACTTGCTCAGCAAAAACAACAACAAAAAATCAAGTCCATAGTCCTCATGGCTACCAGGGAATTTTGAGGTGGCCCTGAGCCGTGTTTTCTCCACTCCCAAAAGCTCAAAAGAGAACAGCGTCTGTTGTGAGCCGCCCAGAGTAGACAATGTCTAGATGGGCGGCATATAAGTGCAATAAATAAATAAATATGTTAAAAAAACAGATGGGTTACCTGAATAAATGCCTAGCATAGTTATTAAAGATGTTTTTTAAGCTGCCCATTGTCCTAAAATTTTAGGGTGGTGTGCAGAATTCAGAGAAGTCAAAGTTAAGGCCCAACACCATGAAATTAAACCACGCGACACCCCAGTAACCATAAGGAGTAGAAGAGAAGGAAATGAAGCTGAACTCTTCTCTCGACTGCCTTCCTTTCCTACACACCTCTTTTACCTGACAGGGCTTTGTATTCCTCACGACGAGCAAATCTTGAAAGAAAGCAGGGAAATGCAAGTAAATCTTGCGGGTTGTGAGGGAATTTATGCCAAGTGCTCTTGGGTACAGTGAGCGCTTATACCCATTTAGGTTGCTTGCTTTCGGCAATTGATTTTGCAATGCAGAGGCACCCTAGAGAAGGGTGCTGATGTAGCATTTGAGTCATGCCTCTATAAGCAGAATTTTGCCCAGCCCGTGGTTACGTTTGTAGGGCAAGCGTGCCAGAAGGAAAGGAGCGGATCCAGGACGGTGGTGCTTTTTATACCTGCTCTTGAATTGGGTCCCTGCCCACGACGTCTGGGCGGCAGTATTTTCCTTTCTGTATCCCCCAGTCCGGAAATGCCAGCTCAGTGGCGTACGATGCTTTTCTGCAAATCAGCTCCGCAAATACGGGTCGGACCAGTTCCCTGCCCCAGTTTAGCTTTTAATTGAGATTGCAAAACTTAATTAAATCACTGTTGTCACTGTGCTTATCTTAAACTTTAGCTAAAGTGGTCAGAGGCTATACTTATTTTGTTATGATGAGTTCTGTGTTATTTTTCCCTCTTGTGCTATATTCCCGTCTCTGCCTGGCAGTCCGAGGGAATATCTCCCACGCGAGACGAAACAGACTCCGAGCCCCGAAAGCCGGTGTCAGGACAGAAGCCATCTTTACAAAAGTGCAGCTCAAGAAGTGTGTTCTCTGAAAGGTGTGATGAAACCCCCCTGTTTTTTTGGGGGGGGGGCTGGGGCAGATAAACATGGATATAAAGTCCAGAAGTGAAAATTTATTCTTTGTGTTCTATCACAGTTTAGGGGTACCTTTACGACAGAATTGGAGACACGGTTGGGAAGAAGGGCTCATATTTGCCCCCCGGGGGGGGGAGAGAACATTTTGTGCTTGCTTTGTTTATGTATTAAAAATATTTACCAGGGTATATCATTCTGGACCTCTTCTCTGTTGCTCCCTCAAACCAGAAGTAATTTTTTTTTCTGGTTAAATTCTGGGTTTTGTGTAGGTGGCCCGGCGGTCTTTCTTACTTCTTTATTTGGGGAGGGCGCAAGGGGGCAACCCACAGGACCGCCCCGGGTGGATGGGAGCTGGGACCGATCTTGACCCAGCCTCTCGAGGACTTGAGAATGTAGGATTTATCACATCAGAAGCTTTCCCAAAGTAAACAGACAAAGTAAAGGAAAGCAGTCCATTGAGATCCTGAAATATAATGGTGAGGGTTGCAATTCCCAAGCATCATCTCCCCGATGAAGGACTGGACGCAATATCCTCCTCGGTCTGAACAGATCGCATCAAACCTGCTGCTGTGTTCCAGTTGGCAGGAGATAGAGCGGAATAGCGCTATGGCGCACGCCTCTTGCCATGTGGGTTTCTTAGAGGCACCTTTGTGGGATACAGGATGATGGGTTAGATGGGATCTCTTCTTACATTATGTATCATCTCCCCGATGAAAGACTGGACGCAATATCCTCCTCTGTCTGAACAGATCGCATCAAACCTGCTGCTGTGTTCCAGTTGGCAGGAGATAGAGCGGAATAGCGCTATGGCGCACGCCTCTTGCCATGTGGGTTTCTTAGAGGCACCTTTGTGGGATACAGGATGATGGGTTAGATGGGATCTCTTCTTACATTATGTGATAGAAGTTGAGAAAACAGTGGTCACTTCGGGGTGGGGAAGTGCCGTTTCTTCCTTTTCTGAAGCGGTGGGGATTCAAGACGGCCCTCGCTTAGTCATCTTGTTTAGTAAGGTTTTCCCCTCACCGCGTCTCCCTTTCGATGCCGTACCCGTCTCATTAAACTGGGTGAAAAGGCACAGGGCAGTAGTATTTTAAAGGAAGGATTGAGGCTTTTGCGTTGTCTCGTGGCGGAAGCACTGAGTAATATGGCAACCCCTGTATTAGCAGAACTAGAGATTAAGCCAAGGGGCAACATTAGGCAAAGAGCAGTCAATGGAAGCTAAGCTAAGCTTATTGTTTGTACATATACAGGATCCGGCCCTAAGGAGTTATTTCTGGTTTCTGTACAATTTAATGAATTTTTGTTATTTTGTAATGCAGGAAAGTGATAAAAAGTATTAAGAATTAGGTTGTTTGGACGGAATGGAGATGGCTATCTTTCAGGTCCTGGCCGAACACACCACAAAACACAGACTGAAATTAGATGCCAGGTGGGGGCTGCGCACCTGCAGGCGGTGCTGGAAACCAGGTCCCACCAGGCCTGATGGTGGGGGAAGATGGGATGTGGAGTCCGTCAACATCTGGAGGGCCACCTTCTGCTCTTCCTGATTTACACAGGTGGCCAAAGACTATTTCCTCCGCGGCTGGAAGTGTTTTCGTCTTAAGGGGGAGCAATTTTAAAGGAAGGATTGAGGCTTTTGCGTTGTCTCGTGGCGGAAGCACTGAGTAATATGGCAACCCCTGTATTAGCAGAACTAGAGATTAAGCCAAGGGGCAACATTAGGCAAAGAGCAATCAATTGAAGCTAAGCTTATTGTTTGTACATATACAGGATCCGGCCCTAAGGAGTTATTTCTGGTTTCTGTACAATTTAATGAATTTTTGTTATTTTGTAATGCAGGAAAGTGATAAAAAGTATTAAGAATTAGGTTGTTTGGACGGAATGGAGATGGCTATCTTTCAGGTCCTGGCCGAACACACCACAAAACACAGACTGAAATTAGATGCCAGGTGGGGGCTGCGCACCTGCAGGCGGTGCTGGAAACCAGGTCCCACCAGGCCTGATGGTGGGGGAAGATGGGATGTGGAGTCCGTCAACATCTGGAGGGCCACCTTCTGCTCTTCCTGATTTACACAGGTGGCCAAAGACTATTTCCTCCGCGGCTGGAAGTGTTTCCGTCTTAAGGGCGAGCAAATAAGCTTTTAGATCTCATAAGGAGAACATCAAACCCTAAAATCACACTGTTTGTAAACAAGCCAATGATGGCCGGGCAATGAGCCGCCTAGAGTGGTCATATTGACCAGATAGGCGAGATATAAATAGAATAAATAAAAAATAAAAATAAAAAAATAAACTGCACTCTGATCCTTAAAATTTAGTGACCCAATATAAAAATCCATAAGGACTTTTCCCACTAAAGTGATAAAAAGTATTAAGAATTAGGTTGTTTGGACGGAATGGAGATGGCTATCTTTCAGGTCCTGGCCGAACACACCACAAAACACAGACTGAAATTAGATGCCAGGTGGGGGCTGCGCACCTGCAGGCGGTGCTGGAAACCAGGTCCCACCAGGCCTGATGGTGGGGGAAGATGGGATGTGGAGTCCGTCAACATCTGGAGGGCCACCTTCTGCTCTTCCTGATTTACACAGGTGGCCAAAGACTATTTCCTCCGCGGCTGGAAGTGTTTTCGTCTTAAGGGGGAGCAAATAAGTTTTTAGATCTCATCCTAAAATCACACTGTTTGTAAACAAGCCAATGATGGCCGGGCAATGAGCCGCCTAGAGTGGTCATATTGACCAGATAGGCGAGATATAAATAGAATAATTAATTAATTAATTAATTAAATGAGTTTATGGCGGTTTAAAGCTGTGGCTTTCCTCCTTGGTGGGTCAACAGCAGTTATCTCTGCGGTGCAGCCTAGAAAGGAAAGGTGGAAAATTGGCACCTCTTTGGGGCAATTATTTATAAGTAGAGGGTCCACTGTAATTAAATAAATGAGTTTATGGCGGTTTAAAGCTGTGGTTTTCGTCCTCGGTGGGTCAACAGCAGTCATCTCTGCGGGGCAGCCTAGAGAGCAAAGGTGGAAAATTGGCACCTCTTTGGGGCAATTATTTACACGGATACAGAGGGGTGGCCAAAATCCTCCTCCCTTCTCTCTGTGTCACCAGCCAACTTTTTTTCTTGGGTGGGGGGGAGATCAAAACAAAGAAAAAAGAAGGATGCTCAAAATTGTTGGAGGGTGAGGCCAGGAGCAGAGCTGATCTGCAGAACGGCCTCCAAACTTGGTAAAAACTCAGCCGGCACCAACACCCCTTTCTCGCAGTTTCCTTTATTTTTATTTTACTTTTTTCCCTTTTATTTTCTGGGACAATTTACTTCCCTGCCTTTTTTTTAATGGACTTTATTATTTTTTTTTAAATTGTGAGACGCGCCAAAATGCGACTCTGGTGGGACTCGAACCCACAACCTTTGAATGACTTCCCCCGTCATTTGCTCTAGAAGTCCAATGCGCTATCCATTGCGCCACAGAGCCGTCGTGGCGACATAGGCTCCTCTTTCCTGTCCTCTCCCTTGACCTCGCTCCACCGGTTGCCCCTTTTTCTTTTGTTCGGATGATGATTTAAATCCCTTCTCCTGCCTAGAAAACCCCGCGCCTCCTTTTTTTCCCCCGTTTGTGCAGCGCCTGGAAATCCAGGTCGCCATATTTTTGCAAAAAAGACGGAAGAAAGGGAAAAAAAATATATGCAATCCCCAAGAACTCTCTGTTTGCTTTTGCAACTTTTCTTTGCACGGCTCACTCTCATCGCTCTGCATTGCATGAGCGAAAAAGCCGCATATTGTACATATATATGGATTTAAATTCACATTTCCGAGTTTGGCAATCGGATTTGCTGCATGGTGCATTAGAGCGGGGCGAGGCTGGGGCTGGAACCCAAAGGGAGAAGAAAGTCCCCCCCAAAAAAAGTTAGTTGTCGGACTTTTTTTTTTAAAGACACCCCCCCTCCTTTCCCAACCACGTGGAAGGCTGAGGAAGGGCAAAAAAAGGGGAAAAAAGAGAAAGACTACATGTCCCGGGGTGCTTTGCGGGGGAGGGAGGGCGCGCCCCCTGGAGGGGAAAAGGCGGAACGGCAGGCTTGCATCTGCATTCATCCACTGGCAGCAAAACCCTGGGGTTCGCTGGGCTGCCGGGTCTGTCTCTCTGTTGTTGTTTTTTTTTTGCAGGAAGGAGGATCGTGCAGGTGGGAAGAGGAGGAGGAGGAGGAGGAAGGCCACGGAGAGAGGAAGGGCTAAGCCAGCCAGCCATCCGGGAGGAGCCGGGGCTGATCAGGAGAGATCTCTGCCCTTTGCAAGCAACAGCAGCAGCAGGAGAAGGAAAAAAAAGAGAGATAGGCAGGCAGGACAGATCCTCCCAGTTTGACAGCTCCTGGGACCAGTGCTTGCACTGGATCCGGGCTGGCGTGGCTTTCCTCCCCTCTCCCACCACCAGCATCCCTTCTCCTGGGGCTCAAGAAGGCAGAGGTTGGGACCCTCCGCAGCTGGAAGAAGAAGAAGAAGTTTGACAGCTCCTGGGACCAGTGCTTGTACTGGATCCGGGCTGGCGTGGCTTGCCTCCCCTCTCCCACCACCAGCATCCCTTTTCCTGGGGCTCAGGAAGGCAGCGGTGGGACCCTCCGCAGCTGGAAGAAGAAGAAGAATTGAAAGCATGGCAGACAAGAGGTGGGTGGCTCTCTGCTTTGTTTTTTTTTTGCTCTGCATCTATGTATATATAATATTATATGTGTGTGTGTTTGCAAAGAGAGAAGGATCTGCCACAGACAGGGCCAAGGAACCGAAGCAGGCTGAAGGCTTCTGTTCGAAGAGGAGGGAGGGAGGGAGGACCCCTGGATCCAACCCCAGAAAAAGGTGGGTTTTTGAGCTGGGTGGTGTTTTAGATCCAGTGAAGGAGCCCCCCCACAATGCACATAACCCAGCACAGGTGCTGATGAATGATGGAGTTTTTTTTGGGGGGGGGGTTGTATCAAAAGACAGCAGCCCCCCTTTTATCTAGGGAGTTGCATGTGGGGTGGACGAAAGGGATTTTATTTTGGGGGGGGGAGCCAGAAACCAGCCACTTTCCTTCCTTCCTTCGGTATGTTGGGTCTCCGCCACCAGGTTTATTTTTTTCTGTTGTAATCCCTCTCTTATGTCTCTTCCGAAGCCATCCGCACAGGCCTGCCTTCCAGGAAAAAAAAAAAAGAAAAACTGGACATCCGTGTAGGTAAAATTGCAGACCAGAGATGTGTTTCTTTCCAGAGAAGGTGGGCCTGTTCCTGCTTTATCAGGTTTAAACCCCACGGTATCTAATAGGGGTGGTTGCAAAGTGAGTCTGCACATTTGCAGAGAGAACCATCCCTTTAAGCTCAGCTCTGAGCTAAAACCAGCTCTTAAGATGCTGGTTGGAGGTTGCTAAGAAAGGCTGTTTGCCTGGGGAAAAAAACACCTCCTTTAGCGAGATGTTTCTCTTAAAGGAGGTCTCCTGCTGCCGGCCGTATGGGTTCCCCCAAGGCTGCATCGCGACAGAATTTGAAAGCAGTGGTGCATCGCTAGGGCGATCGGAGGTTTTCAAGGATGAAACAGCCTCTGAACTTATTTCCATCTTTCCTCCCTTTCGTATGGATGGTGAAAGCAGGATGGGGAATGGTCTAGCCTTTATTTATTGTCGCCTCGAGTACCCTAACCTTAAATTCTTTCTCTGCAGAAGGGTGGGGCTTTAAAAAAAGGTCCCGAAATCTGGAATCCCCGACACACACACCTTGCTGATTCTGCATATTTTCCAAGTGGCCCAGAATCACCTTTTTTTGTCCCCAATGGCCGTGAGCTTCAAGGAAATACCAGACTATTATCCAGGTCATATTTAGAAAGAGGCCGTGGGGCTTTTTTTTTTGTAAATACAGGTCATTTCGAGTCTTGACTCCTGGGTCAAGTGCTTTTCACCTACCTGGCTGGCCTCCACCACTCTCTGGAGGCAGGAAAAAAAAGTTAATTTTCTTTATTTAAAAAAAAACACCAGATGCCATTCCTGGGCTTATCACCTCTCGGTAAGCAGGATGTGCCCTTTTTAAAAAAAAATCCAGCAGAGGGTTTGTGGGCGGCTTGGCTTGGTTGGGTTCTCCGTGAGCTGGAGATAAGAGAATCAGCAAATGAGTTTGTGGGAGGACAATTGAATCTGTTCTGTTCTTGGTTTGGCTTTTTTTCCCTTCCCCTCGTCCACAGCAGCATCCCCGCAAACTGGAATTAGCCAGAAAAGTAGGGAGGCCGGCCAGAGGCAGCCTTCCAGATGTGGCTTGACTGCATCACCCTTGCCTGCTTTACGGGGAATAAATCTGGGGTCTGGATTTTAGCCTTGCCTGGAAAGCCACACAATTCCCACCAAACAGGAAGGCAAATTTCTTGTTGTTCGTCCGTGCGGTGGGCCGTCGCTCGGCGAGAGAGCAAATGAGAGCCTCTAGATCCGGCTGCTAATTCCTAGCTAGCGTAGGACTCCTACCATCAATGGGATTTCCACAAGTGTTGGTCAACCTCTGAGCCATCAATTCAGGGGACGGAGCCTAGCTGAGAGAGCAAACTCTCTGAACCAGTGGTTTCCCAACCTTGGGCCCCCAGATGTTCTTGGACTACAACTCCCAGAAGTCGCCACCCCCTCTGCTGGCCAGGATTTCTGGGAGTTGAAGTCCAGGAACATCTGGAGGTCCACAGTTGGGGACCACTGCTCTAAACAACATCACCGGCCAAGTTTGGCATCCGAGGTAGGGACGTCCTGCTTGGCATCTTACGCCACAGGTGGGCCACTTAGGATGTGGAAAGAGACACCGGGATCCTAGAATCATGAAGTCGGAAGGGGGCCTCTAAGGCTATCAAGTCCAACCCCCTGCTCAAGGCAGGAATCGAAATCAAAGGATATGTGACAAGACGGTGGTCTAATTTTCTCTGGAATGCTTCCAGCGCTGGAGCGCTCACCACCTCTCGAGAGCATTGTCGAACTGCTCTAACAGTTCAGAAGTTTTTCCTGGTATTCAGCACTAGAACCCTGCTTTGAATGAAGAAGGTCCCAAGTTCAAGCCCCGGTTTCTCCAGCTAAGGCTTAGAAAGGAGCCCCAGAGATCAGCTTCCAGTCCATAGTGATAAATACAGGGCTAGGTGGATCAACTCAACATCAGGCAGGATGTGATGTTCTCATACGTTCTTTAATTTTACTGCCCCATAACCTTGGCTTTCTTAATTGCTGCAGCCAGCTTTAAGAAGGCCTTGTTTTGCTTTGTTGTTGTTTTTCTCTGTTGCAAAACCACTAGGCGTTGAATTCCTCTTTGATTTAGGGATGGTCCAGTCCTCCCTGTAGAAGGTCGAGAAATCCTAATCTGACTTCCACACAGCCTCCCACTTGATGATACTTCCATTCGTTCCTATGGGCGTGTTGTGCCATCCCAGAAATGTCATAAGCCCGGCTCTAAAGGAACGTGTTGCTGCGTGCCACACAGGTAGATGACTGTGTTGCCATTACTGAAGGCTGCAGAAGGTACTTTAGTTAAGTCTGTGATGCGCTACATTTGTGATTTAACCACGCAAGAAGTTTACAGAATATTTCCTTGTTTAAACGGGACCCGTTTTTCACTTTGGAGATGTGTGTGTTTGTTTGTTTTTTGGTTGTTGTGTTTATATCCCTGCCTTTCCTTCATGGATCACAAAGCAGGATAAATGGATCCACTCCTCCCTACTTGAATAGCTCGGTGGTTTCGGCGTCTGGCTGTGGAGCCAGAGAGATTAGGAGTTTGATTCCCCCCTTGGCTTCCTTGATCAGGGATTGGACTCGATGATCCATAGGGTCCCTTCCAGCTGTGCAGTTCTAAGATCCTCAGAACATCAGCCCTTTGAGGGGGAGATCTAGCAGAGAGAAAAGGAGAGGAGCTGAGGATCACCTACTGAATTTCATCGCTGAGCAGATGTTAGAGCCCAGATCCTGACCCTCAGTCATGTGCTCCAACTTAGGGATGCAGCTTACCAGATGTGTAACTTGCCTGATTCTTCTTCCTTAGCCAGAATTAGGAGCAGCTGCATGGCAGCAACATCTGGAAATCCACCCTTTGGGCACCCTGCTCTAACCAATACAGCGCTGTCTCTCAATAGCGCTGTCTCTCGTGCTGATAAGTGAAGACGGTGGCAAAGGAAGTGACTTTTGCCTTTATACTGACATCGTACCCCTCTTTCCAAGAACCTGGATGTCACGAGAATGTGAACAAAACCCCTGATTTCTCCAAGAAGGCCATTTATAAGTCCACAGGCCTTCTGGTATTATATTTATCCCTTGCAATCTGTTGGCCAAAAAAGAGCAGTGGGAGACGAGGATAAAAACTGAGGCCAGAGGCATGTTATAAAAAGGAAAAAGCAACAGCAGAGTGGTAACCACGCAGGCTTGTTGCACAATTGGATGGGCTATTGATTTCGTGACGGTTGTGTGGCCAGTTGCACAACTGGCCCTCTCACAAAGAGGGCAAACTCCTTGCCTGCTCACGATTTCACATTCATGTCCTCCCACACAGAAGTGCCTGCTCACGATTTCACATGCATGTCCTCCCACACAGAAGTTGTTTGTTACATCCACCACAATGCTAGAGACGGTTGCCCCATGCGAAGTAGGGTCTAGGGAAGTTGGTCATCGCAGAGGGAAAAGGGTCAGTCAAAGCAAAGTGAATTCCTTATCCTTGTTATAAAATCCTCTCATCTGGAGTACACTTGCTCTGCGCCAACAGTGGTGTGTTTCCACCAGATCGGAACCTGTGGTTTAGGCGACCGGTCCGAGAACGATGTGCACCACAAAGTTTGGCGGTTGGGCCAGGCATGCGCCTAGTCCCTTTGAAGTAAACCTGCGCAGGGTGGTCCTCCCAAGCACTGGGAGAAAAGCAGGTTGGACCTCAAAGCAAATCGGTGTTTAACGAGTGGGGAAAGACGAAACGAGCTACGTCCATTGGGGGATGTTGGCTGAAAGCTGGACGTCGGCCAAGGGGGCTTCACCGTCAAGGAGAGATGGGAGGGAGGAGGAGGAGGAGGAGAAGCAGAGGGACAGGGCAAGAAAAGATGGAGAGTGGAGGGAAAGCAGGAAGCAGACTGGTTCCCTGTTGCAAATTCGTTGGTGCCACAAATCCTTTTGCTTTTATTTTTATTTCTTTGGTTTTCCGTCTTTCCCTTGTGCATGCCTTCTGTGGCTGATGCTAGTTATCCTTCAGAACAAGTTTTAAGGGTACAAAAAAAAAGTGTGAGCCTCGTTGTGAGTCAACACAAACAAAGAGGAACAGTCGTTCTATTGAACACGGTTACAAGCAGCCCTTTGTCCCACCTAAGACACGTTCCCGCCAGCTGAGAACCAATATTCTTTTAGACGTCTCTGTCCAGAGGTTAAAGGACAGAGGATAACTAATATTTTAAATCTAAAAGATTGGGGAACATCTGCTTTCGTTCAGACCACTCTGGGGCGCGGCCGTCAACGCTTCTTGTGTCTTAAGAAGAAGATGCAGCGAAGGCATCTCAAGGTGGTTTCCTGGAAGCTTCCAAGTTGTGCGAGGATTTATAAATACGCTCACTGTAATTTCCCCTTCTCTCCCTTTCCCAAGTATTTCCTGCTGGCTTCCTGCTTCTCCCGGGGCATTGGCCGATGTGTCGAGATGAGTTGGAAGCCAAAGAAGTTGAGACTCCCTTGTGCTCAGCCATGGAAATGGAGGTGCGGAGAAGAACCGGTCATTTTGGATGTGTGACATGATATGCAGGAAAACATGAATGTTGCACCAAGGTGTTAACAGCCGTTCAAAATACGCCTACGCAGTTGCAGGGGTGGGGATGACAAGCTGTGCAATGTATTATGTCCTAGATTTCCTGTAGGTTTGCTGACATGGATGCGCACTAGAAGTGAGACTTGTGTCTCCTCCTCAGACGACGGGCGCCGTAGTGTTCTGGTTGGTACCTTAGTGAGCATGCCCGTTCGCCGATGAGCGTGAGAACTCTGAATGCTGTGTGTATAAGAGAATGTGCATGAACACTAAGGCACCGTCGAGTGCACAGCCCTGCCGTTTGAACCGTGTTCCATTTGCTGCCAAAATGAGGTGCCAAATATGGAAAACACTGTTTATAAAGCAAGCAGCCTGATATTTAAGAAGGAGAGGATCCAGTTGAGGGCTGGCGAAGTGGAAAAAGCCAACTGGCAAGTTCAGTTAACCAACTTTTCCCCCCTCAGGAAATGAATAACTGGTGTTAAGCACCTTGGGCCTGTTGTTTTATCTGTTCCTGAATCTCGCCTGAGCTGGCACCGTTTCTGCGGCTTCAGAGCACGCGTGTGGGCAGGGAAGCTCTTCTGAGAAATGCCGAGGGTTGAAATCAAGTCAGGATTCGGGATCAGCCTAGATCTGATAATACTGGGCTGCCTTCTTAACAGGTGCAGACGGACAAGAAATTCTGAATGGCTGGAAGAGCGCAAGCAGTCATCGCACGACCTTGGACTTCTCCCCGATCTGAGTGGCTCTTATCTCGTTGCTCAACAGGTTATGATCCTCGCTGCCTTATCTCTGCCCGGAGAAAGCAAAGTGGTGGCACAGACGGCCATAAAGCCCAAAGCCCTGCTGGGCGAGAGACGAATTAATCAGGATTGAGACCCAGCCTTTCCGGTGGTAAGTCAGGCCTCAGAGATACACGTCATGCTGGTGGCTTCAGAAGGGATATTTTGCTGATCCCAACTTTCTCCCTGTTTTTTTTCAGACCATGATGATGCAGATGTTGGCCCTCCTCCTCCTCTTCGTCATCTTCCGGTTCTTCCTGGGCCTCCCTTGGATCCAGTTGATCCCCGCCCTTTTAATATTCTACTTGGGGTCTGGAGGCTGGAATTTCCTTCGTATCTTCTTCAAGACAATCAAACGGGATGTGATGTAAGTCACAGTGGAAAAGGTTTCCCCTTCCATGGCTGTTGCCAGAACTTGGGATTGTGCTGGTTTTTAACACTGCGCCTTCTTTGGTAAAGGTTTGAATACTAAAATACTCCTTTGTCATACTGCTCTAACAGTTAAGAAGTTTTTCCTGATATTCGACCTAAATCTGGCCTCCTGCCGCTTGAGCCCATTACTATGTGATCTGCACTTTGGGATGATTAAGAACAGATCCTGCCCCTCCTCTTTAGGACTACCTTTCAAGTATTTGAAAAGTGCTATCCAGTCTCCCCTCTGGCTACGCAAAAGCTTTTGACGTGTGGACCACAACAAACTATGGGAAGTCCTTAAAGACATGGAAGTGCCTGAACACCTTATCTACCTTCTCAAAAACTTATACGTGGGACAGGAAGCAACAGTTAGAACTGGTTATGGAACAACTGATTGGTTCAAAATTGGGAAAGGAGTACGACAAGGCTGTATATTGTCCCCCGGCTTATTTAACTTATATGCAGAATACATCACGCGAAGGGCCGGACTGGAAGAATCCCAAACCGGAATTAAGATTGCTGGAAGAAATACCAACAACCTCAGATATGCAGATGATACCACTCTGATGGCAGAAAGTGAGGAGGAATTAAAGAACCTCTCAATGAGGGTGAAAGAGGAGAGTGCAAAAAACGATCTGAAACTCAACATCAAAAAAACTAAGATCATGGCCACTGGTCCCATCATCTCCTGGGAACTAGAAGGGGAAGAGATGGAGGCAGTGACAGATTTTACTTTCTTGGGCTCCATGTTCACTGCAGATGGAGACAGCAGCCACGAAATTAAAAGACACCTGCTTCTTGGGAGGAAAGTGATGACAAACCTAGACAGCATCTTGAAAAGCAGAGACATCACCTTGCCGACAAAGGTCTGCATAGTCAAAGCTATGGTATTTCCAGTAGCGATGTATGGCATAAAGAAGGCTGATTTTTGAAGAATTAATGCTTTTGAATTATGGTGCTGGAGGAGGCTCTTGAGAGTCCCCTGGACTGCAAGGAGAACAAGCCTATCCGTTCTGAAGGAAATCAACCCTGAGTGCTCACTGGAAGAACAGATCCTGAAGCTGAGGCTCCAGTACTTTGGCCATCTCATGAGAAGAGAAGACTCCTTGGAAAAGACCTTGATGTTAGGAAAGTGTGAAGGCAAGAGGAGAAGGGGACGACAGAGGATGAGATGGTTGGGCAGTGTCATCGAAGCGACCAACATGACTTTGACCCAACTCCGGGAGGCAGTGGAAGACAGGAGGGCCTGGTGTGCTCTGTTCCATGGGGTCACGAAGAGTCGGACATGACTTAAGGATCAGTCCTCTTTTCTCAAAGCTACACATTCCCATTTATAGGAATCATTACATTACTTGTGTTGCTAGTTACTTTTCCGTCTTTTTTCCTTGCCTTTTTAAAGAAAAACTTTTTTCAACAGACAAGACATGAAAAATTCAAAATGTCTTAAAATGACACCAAGCGCTGTCTTTAGAAATTGACCAGAAAGCATTGTTTATGAAACCAGTTAGATAATTTAATTTATTGCATTCATTTAAATAGGTATCTCCATTACGCTGGCATGATCCCAAAAAGTACAGTAGTTAGTTACTTTCCGGCACTATACTGGCTTTTTCTTCTGTTTACCCTAAGCATTTACTATTTCAGCACGATAAAAGCTACGGGAGAATTAAGGCAAGGGTGAAAGTCCAGGGTCGTTTTGCTACGGTCGAACATTTGAGAGTCAGAAAAGCTTGCCAACTTGCTGCAATTTTTCCACAGATAAATTAGGGCCGGATACATATTCTGCCCATCCCTGAGCTGTGCAAGTCAAAATCTTGAAGCGAAAAGAATATATTACTTATGGGACGGGATCTTAACTGAGTGGTAGAAAGTATCACGCTTTGGGTGAACAAGACTCTGGGTCTTGAGCCTGACTTCCCGAGCTAGTAGGCGCAAGGCTTTTAATTCTAGAATTTGTAGTCCAAAAATCAATTAAAAGAAGGAACATTTTTTTGAAAAGGAACTTTTCTCATTTTTGACAACATGTTGTAGTCAAGGAAAGGGTTCTTTGTCCTAGGAATGGAACGATGGCCGGCCCTTTGTTCCTTCTGAAGCAAAGGATGAGAGTTTTTCTGAAGCCCTCGCTCCTGGCGTCCCTGTTCTTTGGACTTCAAATGGGGTGGAGAAATCGGCCGGCCAGAGATTTCCCAGAGAGCAATTAGGTTTTAATTGGCAACTTGCCTTTTTTTTGCCGAGAAGTTCCCTCTACACAAGTAGAACTGGTTCTTTGAAAGAGGTGTGTGTATGTTTGGAGGAGGAGCGATCACACCCACCCACACACACACACCACGCCCCTGATTACATGCCTGATGAGGAAATCAGGGTGCTTGATTTTAATCCGTCTGAGGATGTTGCAATGGGAAAAGGCTCTGCTCTGTCTGTGTGGATTTTTTTCCCATGAGAAAAAAGTGTGTGGGGGGGAAAACATTGTCCATCCGTCACATCCTGTTGCGCCGACCAGTTCTGTTTTCGCACGGAAACCTCACCTGTGCTTCGTTCTGCTTCCTAGGGCTGGTCAGGCTGTCCTGTGGACCCGTTTCAGGATCTGGTGGTACACCAAACAGAGATACACCATCCCACGGGTGTTTCAGCAGACAGTAAGCAAACACCCGGAGAAGGTGGCCCTCATTTTCCAGGGAACGGGGGAGACCTGGACCTTCCGGCAGTTGGACGATTACTCTAACAAGGTGGCCCACGCCCTGTACGAGCAAGGTTTCCGCTCCGGGGACGTGATCGCCGTCTTCATGGAGTCCCGCAACCAGTACGTGGGGCTCTGGCTCGGCATGGCCAAGATTGGGGTGGAGGCGGCCCTTCTGAACTCCAACGTGCGGCAGGAGTCTCTGCAGTACTGCATCGGCATCTCCCAAGCGAAGGCGGTGGTGTTTGGCAGCGAACTGGCCGAAGGTGAGAGAGAGAGAGAGATCCCGTCCAGAAGAAAGACCAGTTTTTGCACAAAGAATGCAAACTCCGCTCCCTTGTCCTCGTCTCAGCTTTGTTTCTTTGCAAGAATCAGAAGCACTGGATGGGTTGCTTGTATCTTTCTTGACCAAACTGCTCCCCCTGCCCAGGCAGAGCAGAGCTCACGGGTTGAGAATCGCCAAGAGGAATAATCAAGGGATGGTGAGGTCACGCGCCCCTCAAACCCAGGTTGAGAATCGCCAAGAGGGATGGTGAGGTCACGCGCCCCTCAAACAACCATGGCAATGTAAAATCAGAGACAGGGAAAGTTACATTTTTGGACTAGGGTGAGTAAGAAGGGTGCTGTCGGCTTTGGAGGGCGGGAGATCCATCGGTGGTTAGGAGGGTGCGCTTGATGGAGAGATTTGTTTTGCTGGGTAGCCCTAAACAATGAATACAGTGGTGCCTCACTAGACAGTTACCCTGCATGACGGTTTTTTCGCTAGACATTGACTTTTTGCGATCGCTATAGCGATTCGCAAAACAGTTATTCCTATGAGGGAATTTCGCTGGTCAAGGTTTGGCCCCTGCTTCGCAAACTGATTTTCACTAGACGACGATTTTCTTTTCACTAGACAAGGATTTCGCTAAACAGCGATTTCAGTGGAACAGATTATCATCGTCTAGCGAGGCACCACAGTATTCAGATGGGGATCGGTGTTCGAATGGGAGCAGCAGACCCGTCCACTGTAGGGTGATGCACTAAACGCCCAAGAAATTGAACCCAGACCAAACTGTTCGCGGGAGCAGCTGACCCATCCACTGTAGGGTGATGCACTAAAGAAATTGAACCCAGACCAAACTGTTCGCTCCAGTGTTTACACTGCCGATTTCTTCTCTTCTTTCCTAGCCTTGCGGGAAGTTGAATCTTCACTTGTCAAAGGCCTCCGTTTCTTCTGCTTTGGGGAGTGGAAAGCAGACAGCTTCCCAGCCGGTTCTGAACATCTGGATTGACCCATCCACTGTAGGGTGATGCACTAAAGAAATTGAACCCAGACCAAACTGTTCGCTCCAGTGTTTACACTGCCGATTTCTTCTCTTCTTTCCTAGCCTTGCGGGAAGTTGAATCTTCACTTGTCAAAGGCCTCCGTTTCTTCTGCTTTGGGGAGTGGAAAGCAGACAGCTTCCCAGCCGGTTCTGAACATCTGGATCCCTTGATTGAAAAGGCGCCTTCCCACTCACCCGATCCACCAGACAAGGGATTCCAGGGTAGGCACAGAAGAAGAGCAGAGAGGGGCCTCCCTCCTTCGGGCAGAGACCTTACAGCATGTCCCTGCATGACCCCAAAGTGCACACGCACATTGCAGAAGAGCTAGTGTGCCTTGTAGCAGCCGCTGGATGTGCAACTCTGGAAAAAATTAACAAGCAGTTGGCAATTCTTACTGGTCTGAGTGCCCATGCAAATCGCTGTTAATTATCAGTGGCCTGATGGGATCAAAAGGAGTATCTGTTCTGCAACTCATAACAATCTTGACTAATTACAGAACAGAAATACCATAACATTGTTAGCATAGAAATACTTCTTGCTCTGGATTATTTTAAGAGGGTAATTTTTTCACATGATTCTTTCTTTCTTTCTTTCTTTCTTTCTTTCTTTCTTTCTTTCTTTCTTTCTTTCTTTCTTTCTCTCTCTCTCTCTCTCTCTCTCTCT